GAGGGAATGTAGGGTGCATGTTCCAGCAGGCACTGGGCCTTGTATTCTGACATTCCTGTCTCCTGAGAAAATGACTCTGTAAGATCCTACAGATCCTGTTTGGCAAGGGACAGGAGGGAGGGAAGAGGGGAAAGAAAGGGTTGGGCTAACATAGGCCTGAGCATGAGAACCAGGCAAGCTCTTCAGTTACTTATTTGCATGTCCTATCTTGTCGAACTTTAAATATGATAAGCAACATTAAAAAAAAATCCAAAGCCTCAGTCTTTAAAATTACAGAGTTGGTCAATTTTAAAGAAGGGGGAAATAACCGAAAATGTTCTAACAAGTTGAAAATCTCAACAAGTTGAGAAAAGTAAGTTGTAAATGAAGGAGGAGAAAGGGGGAAATTGTGAATTATACTTGTCTTTACATGAAAATTGTTAGGGTAAATCATTAAAAGTGTGTGAGCTTATGTCATGGGGTGGTTTGAGTTGAGACATCTGCATAAAACCTCCTAAAATCCACTGCACAGTAGCATAAAGTTTACATCACACAGATCTTGCCACACATAAAGGAGCAAATAGTGACCAAGCTACTGGTTGTTTTCCTTATTAATTGTTGAAACAGGTATTTCCACATGAAGGATATATTCATTAGCCAGTGTGTAACCTGAACAGGGGCATTGATGCCATCTAGAGGCCCTTAGGTGAACCTTAAACAACCAACATTGTCAATGACAAATGGTCTCATGTTGCAGGACGAACAGCACAAACAGCTAACAACACAGCTCTGCGGGTAAACTCGTTGTTGGGAGAGAGCTTGCTTGACAGAGTGACCTTTAGAAACTAAAGAGAAAGAGAAAAAACACTTTGCTCAGCTTACCACTAGGAGGTGACTCCAAAACAAGTTTTCACTCTTCACACATTATTTGAAAATACTATGATTGTGTTTATCGAATTGATAAAGAAAATAAAGTATATATTCTGTGAGTAGTGAGTCGATATTAGTAATTCTTTTTGGACCATTTTTAGTTGATCCTTAACCTCTTAACAGGATATATTTTAAATACCCTTATACACTCTGTATTTGATCCACTAAACCACCTTTATAAGCAGGTTTGCTGTAAAGGAAATTAAACATGTTCCAATTGAGCACTGCAGTTTGGTGCAACTGAGTTGAAAGTGGTCGTCAACGTGGCCATGAGAATGCTAAGAGAAAAAACTTCTCAAGCTGCTCCACAACAAATGCACATTGTTGTCTGAGGCAACAATAAAAGATAATTATGATTCTGAATACCTCAACATGACAGAAAACAACATTTAACTCAATTTGACTGTGGCAGTAGTAATTAACCACAGTACAGAAGATTGGCCGAGCACTATGGGAAAGTTCTTGCACTTTGTCTTGTCTGTCAAAAGTTAGATCACTGTCAACAAAGCATGAAGCATTTTGTAAATAATTAAAGTTACAGCTCTAATCTCATGAGAACATGATTGCATGGAATGACTGCGTTTCTGTTGTGGAGCAGCGTATGATTCATTTTTAACGTTCCTGTTCAACCTCTTCGTGTTTAAATGATCAAAGATAGCTATCTAGGATAATTGTTTAAATAATGATTGTTCGGTTTGGAGCTGCTGGGTGTTCCCAGCCCCAAACTGGCAGCTTTATTTAAGTGAATATGACATAAAACAAGCAATTGAAAACAGTTTTATGCTTATTCTGAGTTTTTGTACATGCATGCTTGTTGTTGCAGTTGGATTTCATGTAACCTCAACTGGAATATTTTAATCAAAAACAAACCCTCAGAATCATTGCTCACGAATATCAGTCTAGTGTTGGTTAAATGACATAACAACACAGCAAATGGCTTCTCTAGAATATTGGAAAAAATGTCATTAAGTTGTAAAAGCAAAGAAACAAAGAATGATCTGTGAAATCTCTACAAATGTTCTTTTTTGCTATTAAAAACAACATTTTATCAAGGATATACAACACAAGGTTGAATAACAAAATGAGAGTTTGCAGTTTTTTCAGGCTATGCACACAGAGGAAGATAAATTCATAGAATAACATTGTTATATACATACACGTATACACCCAGAAAACAATGTTTGTTCTTAATTTTATAGTAAAACAAATACCTAACATGGCAACACTATGTATTTAAGACAAATAGGCTGAAAGGTTTCTATACTAACCATCATTTCTATAACTGATACTTAAGAATCAAATAGGGCCTTAAATAAGGATCTGGTTTTAATAGCTGGACTCTTGCTTCTTTTAAGGAAAAATGGATGTCAATCATCACACAGTATAATGACCAGTGTGGAAACTTTATTTAAGGATTTCAGAAATGGTAATAAAGTCTCTTGGCTGACCGAGATGTAAAAATGTGGTTTCTCATGTGTTTTGGTTCTGTCCTAATCTTTGATCTTCGATTTCTGACTCTGACTCTTTCCGACTATGTAACAAATTCATTTCTCCTAATCCACTCAATGCTGTATTTAGAATATCACCACTGGATGTCAATGTATTTGATCCTCAAATAAAACAAACAAAAGAAACTGCCTATTGATATGCAAAAGAAATTGTACCAAGATCCAAGCTGTAGGTGGATAATGGACATTTAACCACGATACAGCTTTTATTGCAGCTGCTGTTCTTGTTTCTGATTTGTTGCAATAGCAATATGTTTGGACTGTGTGGAAGTAGGTGAGCATACAGTATGCATTTAACACTTGCTTACGAGTTTTATGATATGATGTGAGTATTGATATGGTTACATGGTTTATCTTGTTTCTGTATTTTATTTTGCTATGTATCGTATTAATGCAGAAGTTCTCAAAGTTGATGTGACAAACAAATGTTCTTGTTGTTGTTGGCTTCTTCTTGTGGTTTCCTGCGAACTAGTACATACTTCCACTTACTCAGAGGATGTCAGTTGAGTAGACGGTCCCTCAGTGTGGCTACATTTGTGTACACACTGCTTAAATTATTTTTGCCATATGCATCAGATCATCCAAGTTGCATGTTAATACTGAGGTGTAAACCGGGCCTCAGTCCAGATCTGGCAGCTGTGGGTCTATGGATATATGTAGATTTAAAAAAAAAAAACAATAACTAGAGCAGGGGTGCCCAAACCTTTTCCCTTGGAGGGCCACAACTGAAACTTAATGGTGGGCCAGGGCACCAACACCTATTGTAGTGTATTGTTAGGATGAAAAATGGTACATGGATCCCAAGTTCCTGTGTGTCACTCTGCCCACTGTGCTCAGATAATGAAAAATAAAAAATAATTAGGGTTCCTGCATACACATTAGAGAACAATTTTACCTCACAAAAAAATAAAACAAGATTGAATCTCATGGTGGGCCGACTTTGGGCCATAGGCCCCACTTTGGGCCCTGACTAGAGTGAATGTTTTTTTATTGTCTAAATGTCTGTAACACTGTTTGCCACGTCACAAATTTGGAACTAGAAATAAGGAACTTTCATCTGTTGATTTTGCTGGCACCACTGGACAAAACTACCACCTCTTCATCTGATTTTAAGGGGAATCTGACTGAATCCAACCCAGTGGCAGCCATTAAGAATAACTATGTAGAAATAGCCAATCTTCCCGCTAATGGTCTCATGTGCTTATAGGTCATATAGAAGCATCAGTATTAGATGAAAGTTTCATAACCAGTTAAAATCTCCTGGTAGTACGTTTAATATGACACAGGATGGGCTCATTGTCGCCTTTTTACATTATCTGAGGCACACATAGACAGCTCAGATTGTGCAGGTTAAAAGTGCACAGACAGTTTTCTGCCACCTTCACATTTCTTATGAGTACAGTTATGAGTCACTTCCATTTAGACTCACCTGCTTTGGAGAGGTCAGAATATTCCACGCAGGTAGCATTTGCATGCAGCTGTCACAGGTCTGAAACTACATCATCCAACAGGCCCTAAATAAATGAGTAATGAAGAGGAACTCATCAGCAGATTTGGAGGCAATGTAGCATCCCAGAAAAGAGTAAATTGTGCTGACGCCGAAGACGGCCTGACAGTGTTGTGGAGTTACTCAGTAAAGTGACTGTTCATGGTGCATAAGAGGTTGATCAGTAACATAGTTTGTAACTGTTGCTTCATTTTCCGCTTAGCTACACTTGCTTACAGAGCTATACACACTACGGGTGTTTCTCCATAGCCTAAACCTTTAGTTCAGTGAGATCATATTGTGGCAAAACACATTTTTTTTGTTGGGAATTCATTAATTACATCCAGAGAGAGATGGATCTTGAGGGGTATCTTGTTTGGTGTCAAACACTGTCAGATTGAACTCATTTATGTGACCTCTGCCCAGGAACTACAGATGAAAATGAGCTTTTAGCAATATGTGGTACAATACATGTATTGTGCATTGTCCTTGCTATATAAACATTAAATAAAAGCAGCTTTAAAAGTCTGTAGCCTGAATGAAAAATGGAGAAACTGTCCAATATTTAGAACCTCAATGGGCCTACAATATTAAGTTTAGCCAGTAGGTGGCACCAGAGTGCAGGCCATGCTGATAATTCATTAAAAAGATCATCACATGTGGTCACTTGAGCACATGTCAGCTCCTCATAGATAGATTTGGATCATCAGTCTAAGCTGCACAAGCACACTGTCAAAACTATACATAGTATCCAGGAGTATTATGGGAACATTACACTGATTATATACAAATAATACACCCCCATTTACCATAAACACACTGGAGCCTGAAATGATTTTTTCTTATTTTTCTTTAGCAACAAGAGGGAGATATATTTAGGCAAAAACAAAGGACATCTTGTGAGTCTCCATGGTGGTTCAAGGAAAAACACAATTTGGGGATTTCAGGTTCATATGCAGCAAAGTAACATAATCAAAGACAACTGTAATTATTCCTCCCTGCCCACAAACAAGCTAAACATTAGCTTCAGACAGCACAGGTCTCATGACCGGACTGGAAAGGCGTGTACTCAAACCAGCTCAATATATAAACCGACCTCCAACAACAGGAGCCTCCAAACAGTACAGGCTGCAGGAGCTGCGTCCTCTCACATCCTCTGCCTTTATCACCTGACAGCAGCACACACACACACACACACACACACTGCACTGGACCCACATCTTTAACCTCGCTCTCACGTGTAAGTATTTTCTTTTATTTGTCTTTATCTTTTGTGTGTTTTTTTCTGTGTTGAATTTCTCAGTTGAATTTTGCAATAGCAGCTAAGGAGATTAACATACCGCTATTTTCTATACTGACGGTGAGTTTAGTCCAGAGTGACTGACAGGGCTCAAAGGGCCAATTATTCGCAGCTCTAAAGTCCCTTTTTGAAGCTTTAGGTGGATTTATTTGTGATTGTACTACGCAACTGGATTGTATTGGCCACTGGGATTATATGACGCTCACTGCGTACATGTTGAATGTTTGAGAGAAAGTGCCACACCGGCACATTAAGTCAAGATTTCATTACATAGATGGATTTAATTTAATTTAAGTATTAGCCATTGTTGCTCCAAAATCTTAGAAAATCCTATTAAAACACCCCAGGAGATGAAACACACTGTAAAGGGCAGTGAAGTTAGTATAAAGTCACTGTTTGTGTCAAATATAGTGGATAATAATATATAATCAATAATCAACACTTAAAATATGTCTTAAAATATTCTTTATTTGAGGATATTGATGCTTATAAAACCTGCACATTGCATAATGTATGACATTAGAGATGCAGAATCCACTTTTTTAGTTCTGATCTGATCCTGATACTTGAATAAGTGTAATGTATAATATCTTTATTATTAGGAGTAGTAGTAGTCATAGTAGTAGTAGTATTGTTGGTATTATGTGTAAGGTTACATCACTGTAGTAAACCACACAGGACTTCTTAAAGGTACAGTGTGTAAGATTTAGGAGGATCTATTGGCAGAAATGGAATATAATATTCATTATATCGTATCCTCTTGGAATAAGAATTATAATGTTTTTGTTAGCTTACAATGAGCCGTCTACAGAGGGAGCGGGTCTTCTTCTATGGAGTTCATGTTGAAAACCACAAGTTTCTACAGTAGCTTGGGGTAAGGGAAACCAACCCACTGGCTCTAGATATGGGCGTTTGTGTTTTTGTGCGTTTCATGGCCACCGTAGTTTCTTCTTTTTAAGAGCAAAAAACATACAAAAATGCCTAATAAATGTATTACAAAGCAATTTATTTGAACTGTAGGTTGAATTAGAAACGTTTTAAATAGCTCAAAATTCTGTTCTGTCATTTGCATCAATGTGCTAGTTCCTCCTTTCTGATGTAAACAAAGAATAACTTTTGTGGTTTGCCGTCCCGCTTTACCCAATCAGTAGAGACAACTCCACAAAGAGGAGGTCCTTAAGGGCAGAGTGGTGACCTGGGGAGCAGGCAGAGGACTGTTAACTGCGGACAGGAAGTTGGCCAAAATGCCAATTTCCACTTTTGGCACCTTTAAGTAGACTTCACATACAAACAGGGTGTAGGAGGGCAAATTGCTGTGGCAACTCCAACATGAGAACCTTGAGTTAGCCAGCTGTTACTAGCTCACTCAGTGTCAGACTGTCTCATGTTACGTTACAGCAGGTTCTCTTGGTGAGGTGATGTAAGTCTGATATCCAGTGATGTGTGAATTACGCCAGTATCAACACCTGATATCAATATTGGATCGGATCTGTCCCAACTCGAGTCTTCTTCCTGTTTTTATAACGAAAATAATCCCATAAATAGTCAGAAGAGAGTGTGCTATACAGACTATAACTGCTCAGCTCTCCACAGCCTCCTGCTCAGACAGATAACTCTACAGTAATGTTATGCTCGAGCAATTTTATGCCAAACCATAATGTGGCTCACACCAGTAATGACTTATTACTGATATAAAACACTTCATCATAGCCACTTCCCCCTGCCACAGCGTACTACTGTAAATCATGCCTGCAGAACAAACTGATGCCTGCTGTTTGGTCTTGTCAGCTTGTTAATATGTAACTCAACTCGGCCTTTGTTTTTGACCTGGTAAATAAGGAGGATTAACCACTAACTCGTGTATTTTTGTGTTTTTGCAGTGTGTATCATCAGAGGCTCGCTGTCACGATGGATGTCTCTCTCGTCTCTATACCCTGTCATTTTATGATGAAGCCCACAGACAAACCTTGCATACCTAGCTCGCAATACATTTTGATTTCCTCCCATTAGCACTTTTAGAACCGAACCAAGTGGTTCTTTCATCCATTTTGTGGTAGAAATTTATTTATACATACACATTTACCTCATAAGTCACTGTCAAAGCACAATAAATTGGCTTGGTTTCACTCTGATTGTTTAAATTAAATTAAATTGCAAGTAAAGATGGATACAAGTACACTAGCAACCCTGGCAGCTGCCACTACCTTGGCTGTGGCCTCTCAGACTGACATGTCAGGCTACTTGTGGCTGCTGGTGTTAGGCTTTGTAATTGCCTTCATCCTGGCTTTCTCTGTGGGGGCCAACGATGTGGCCAACTCCTTCGGTACTGCAGTGGGCTCCGGAGTTGTCACCATGCGCCAGGCCTGCATCCTGGCCACTATCTTTGAGACAGTGGGCTCAGTGCTGCTGGGGGCCAAAGTCAGCGAGACCATCCGACAGGGGATCATTGACGTCCGGATGTACAACGGCTCCGAACACGTCCTGATGGCAGGGTCGATAAGTGCGATGTGTGGTAAGTATGGTACTTGGAAATTCCTTTTTGATTTGCTTGAATGGTGAAAGGAAATAAAGTAAAGGAGATATTCGACCGGTGAATTTTCAGACTCACTAGGTCTTGCTCGTGTTTTTGCCCTACAGGCTCTGCTGTGTGGCAGCTGGTTGCATCATTCCTAAAGCTCCCCATTTCTGGAACCCACTGTATTGTTGGAGCCACAATTGGATTCTCCATGGTGGCCAGAGGTCACCATGGGGTCAAATGGATGGAGATTCTGCGCATTGGTGAATATATGTTGTCATTCCGCACATTTTAAAACAAGTATCGTTGAATCTGAAATACAAGTGTAGCTAAAAGCTTATTATGTCTCTTACTATCCAAAGTGGCTTCCTGGTTCCTGTCACCTGTGCTGTCAGGCATCATGTCAGGAATCCTCTTCTATTTCGTTCGCAAATTCATTCTGAACAAGGTAAGCCTGATTCTAACACTAACCAGTGGACGTGATTAATGAGTGTAATTTGAAGTCATCAGTGGTGGAGGAAGTGTTTAGAAGTTAAAGGACCAGTATCCCAAACCAGTGTGTAGGATTTAGTGGCATCTAGATTGCAACCATTTGAAAAAAGCCTTTAGGAGAAACTGACCTTTCTATCACAATCGGACGTAGCATGATGAAATGTCGTTGGCAATATTGAAAAAGTGAAAGCTTTAAAGCGACCAGTAGCAGCGAAAAGCACTGCACAGTTGACACCTAAATTAAATGAAAACAGATGAAGAAGAAGCTGTAGAAGATGAGTCATAATAGTGAGGCTAAGACAGTGAAATACTAGCCCACTTGACCAAATCGGTCTCACATATGGCAAAACTTAAGCGGTGACAGCGCACCTTCACGCACATGAAAACATGATCCTATTAGTGACGCCGTACAATGACACATATGAAAAATTACCAGTGGCCTGACCTGCGGCGGGCCCCTAAAACCGCATACTTTGCATATATGAGAGTTACGCCACTATGTACAGCCAATGTTTGGTTTGTAAGGAGGCAAACAAATCAAAAAGGTCAGGAACCACTGGTGTCATCATCAGTTTGGTACCACTGTTCTGTACAGTAAGTGTGTCGCTACAGCCAGAAATTAGCTTAAAGGTCCATGTGCTGAGCTATTTATTAGCCAGGACCAGTAACCAGGCAACCAACAGAGACTCCAGGAAGTTGCTGGTCCTTTTAGTATTAATTGGTGAGCTATGGAGGTGCTGTGAGACTTTTGATCAGTCTCGTGTTTGTGCTGAGCTAAGTTAGCTGGCTGCTGGCTGTAGCGTCATATTTACAGGTCAGACTTGAGAATGGTTTCAAACTTTTCATCCAACTCTCTGCAAAGAAAGCAAATAAACGAAATGTGGAATTTTCCCACAATATTCAGTGGTATTCGGTTTGTTGCATCCTGCGTCTTGCATCCTACCCACCGGTCCTTTAAGTGCTCATTAACATTCCTCCACTGGATCTCATGAGTAGTCGTTATGTCTCAGTGAGCACTCACACGCTCATCTCCACAGGCTGACCCCGTCCCCAACGGCCTCAGAGCTCTCCCTGTCTTCTACGCCATCACCATGGGCATCAACCTCTTCTCCATCATGTTTACAGGAGCACCACGTGAGTACTAAGTGCACACACTACACCCGTGCTCCTTGTGATTCTCACCTACTGCACTGCACTAACACAGCAGCTGTTGAAATCCCCGGAACATGGTGAGCTCTCAGTAAATGTCACTGGAGACACAGAGGAGAGTTGATGACACTCTTCTTAACACGAAGTAGGTGACACAAATGAGGAAAGGTCACTTTAGAAATTTCACATTGTTCTTTTTTGGTAATTTTGGACATTATTTCATCAAGCGAAAATACGTGTCTACCCTGGCATTTCTAAAGAACTGTTTCTTTAAAGAATAATACCAGTGACAGATACCTTCAGCCACCAAACACAACACAAATAAAGTAAAAGCAGTTAAATGGGAATTTGAGAAAGACACAACTATTAAATGGACAATTTCCACTCCTTTTTGTTTCATTTGCAGGATTGAACTTATCAAGAAGTCAACTGGCCTGGGCCCTTCACTGAAGGCTGCAGGCCGGTGTGTGTGGGTCAAGGAATATAACACACCATAACTCCTGCTATGCAAAATTACAACGTAATGCAGTACAGAGTGCACTTCTCACACTGATACTGCACACATGTTCCAGACAACACTTTATTTTCTGACACAGATACAGAAAAACATGTTATTTTTTTCATTTACAAAATGATCTGCCTACAGCTGTGTGCGCAGTTCACAATGTTTTTTTAGCCATGTTGATGATGAAAACCTGTCTTTTTTTTATTTATTGTTAACCTGCTGTTGTCTACAAGAGCAAACAGGTAAGTTGTGTCTGTGCATTAAGCCATCTCACTCTAGCAGTTACAACATCGGTTTAGCCATTCTGTGTTAACATTAAAAGAAAAGTGAAATTACTAGGAGGCTGAGAGTACTATCACTCCACTGCAAGACTGTTCTCTTTCTTACTATCTGATTGGAGGAGTGTGTACTCTTGCTGATACCGCGGTGTGTGTAAGGACAGAAACGCTGGAGCAGGCCAATTGAGACATTTTGTATAATTTTTAACAGATCATATGACCACAGCTAATATGAGAGGAAGAGGTGTGGCTACTTTCGAAAAACGTTTTCTTGGAACTATTACATGATGGCTCACGCTCCTGAAATTGGTCTAACAGTATTAAATGTTACACTGTATTTGAAAGTAGGCTAAAGTAAAGAATGTATCAGTACTAACAGTTTGTTTTCTCACTGTTTTCAAAGGAGCAGCATCAGTTGTGAATGCATTAAAGAAGCAGTTTCTGTTTCGCCTTATATGAGACAGAGTTCTCTCTCATGTCCCCTGTCTTGTGTGTGCAGTGCTGGGTTTTGACAGACTGCCATGGTGGGGTACGCTGTGCATTGCACTGGGCTGTGCCGTTGTCACAGCTTTGGTGGTTTGGTTGGTCGTCTGCCCACGCCTCAAGAAGAAAATCAAACGTGAGTAAATCTTTTATGCATACTGCTCAGTTTTTGTTATTTGGGCTGAAATTGTCACACAAAATTCTAGAGAAGCTAAGAAAATAATGAAAATAAGAAGGGGTTTGAATCATTTGCTATAGTGGATTACGTATTTTGGAGCTTGCCTACAAAGTGACATACTTCTCAGTTGAACACTGTAATGTGCTTCAGGAGAAATAGCTCCCGCTCCCTGCGAAACTCCACTAATGGAGAAGAACTCCAGCAAACCGGCGCCAGCAGAGCAGCCCTCACTACCTCATGACCCTCAACCCCAGACTCCTCCAGCAGACTGTCAGAAGGTGGCTTTCAAACTCGGAGGCTCAGAAGAAGCTGATTTGGACAACAACGACATGGACACCAAAGACTTGGATATTAGCAATGGTGAGAAATGATCTAATTTAATCTTTTGTCTGCCTGAATATCAAACTATTTTACCTCAGTGGCTACAGTCATGGAGAGGTAGAATGTAGAAGTAATACTGACTGAATTTACCAATTTTTTTTCATAGGTCTGAATGGTACTGTTGGCCCCATGATGATCACTGATCCTCACAGTGGACGGTCCCACACAATCCACAAAGATTCTGGCCTTTACAAAGACCTGCTCCACAAGCTTCACATGGCTAAGGTCGGTGACTGCATTGGTGACAGTGATACAGAAGAGCGGCCCATCAGGAGGAACAACAGCTACACCTCCTACACCATGGCCATTTACGGCATTCAAGGTGATCCTAAATACAAGGAGGTGGACGGCGGGCTGCAGAGAAGATCGAGGGTGGACAGTTACAGCAGCTATAGCTCAGCAGTAACCACTGGGACCAGTACGGCCCAGGACGGGAGTGTGACTCAGGAAGCTGGCCCGGTCCTCGCTGTGGAAGAGGACGAGCTGGAGGTGGACCAACCGGCCGTGTCCTTGCTTTTCCAGTTCCTGCAGATACTCACGGCGTGCTTTGGCTCCTTTGCTCACGGAGGGAACGATGTCAGGTAGGCAAGGATGGTTTTCTCCTGAGGAATTTATGCACATGCTGTTCATTCAGAGGATTTAAATAAGCTATTTTTATCACTAGCAATGCGATTGGTCCACTGGTGGCTCTCTGGCTTCTGTATGAGAGCGGCTCCGTGGTGTCCAACTCACCAACGCCCATTTGGTTGCTTCTTTATGGCGGAGTGGGGATCTGCGCAGGACTCTGGGTATGGGGACGCAGGGTGATGCAGACCATGGGCAAAGACCTCACACCCATTACACCCTCCAGGTATGCCACATATTTATATCCTATAACAGCTATAATTCTCATATATCTAATTGTCAAAGCGTACTAAAACATTTTCTTCCAATTTAGTGGATTCAGCATTGAGCTAGCTTCAGCAATCACAGTCGTCGTGGCATCCAATATCGGTCTTCCTGTCAGCACAACGCACTGCAAGGTAACTCAGAAACTTCAGCCCAAATAGATGAATGTGATAATCAAAAGTAGGTTCAGTGTTATAAACTGTTATGTCATGTGAACATAGGTAGGGTCTGTGGTGGCCGTGGGTTGGCTGCGCTCCAGGAAATCCGTCGACTGGCGTCTGTTCAGGAACATCTTCATCGCTTGGTTTGTCACAGTTCCTATCTCTGGGCTGATCAGTGCTGCCATCATGGCTCTTTTCATATATGTTGTTCTGTGAGCCTCCCACTATCCAGCTACACTTCACCTGACTGCCTGCCACAGTTTTTCTTTGGCTGACGGATAAAACATATGGTCTCTGTTAATGATGTTTATGATATTGTTCAAAGTCATTTTGAGGTCAAGCCAATGATGTTATCTCACCGGAATATGTCCATGAATGATGTAGGATCTAATAACACTGTTCAACTATCCAGAAGTCTGTGATCCTGTATGTATATTTGTATAAAAGCAACATTGTATTAAAAATCAAAACATTCACTTTTGACTGAAAAAGCACAAATAACAGTAATATTCTATGTTTGCGTATTTGGATGTAATAAAATGAGGAGATGCTTGATTTGAAAGGATTTCAATGTATTTTACTCACTATTAAACATTTTCCACTAAATTGTATTTACTGTGTTTGCATGTGGGAGGGATGGGTTACACCATCATGAGGTCATTTTATTTTGAAATATAACTTTTGACAAATATTATTTTTTATATAAAGGGAACAACAAACACAAACACATGGTGTATACCGTCCACATGCCATATCTTCATGTATATTGGGGTGAAATGAAGGTTTACCATTGCCAAACACTGACATTCTTAATTGTTTAATACCTATATTTTACTATACTAATACTTAAAATAAACCTAAAATGTGAGTAGTTCATTGTCAGCTTGATTCTACAAATGTTCCATTAAGCAATACAGACAATTGAAATCCTTTTCTAAAACATTGTTCCAGCATGTATCTGCTCTAAGAACTACAGCTGCCCCTGCTGATGTTTACTGAAAAGCCCACTAGGTGCTGCTGCTGGTGCAGGAGTCACAACTTAATGTCAGGCCTGCTACACACTGCCTCCCCATATCACTATCAGACCTACGTTATGCTACTGAGGGATGACTTTCCTGTAGTTTCACTAACAATAAAAGGCCACATGATGGTGGTGTTCTCCAAATAACTGATGCCATTGGTGGTGTTTGAAGCAGATGCATGTTCCCTATCTTTCCTAGATTCACTGCTTTACCAGGGTTTTTCTTTCTTGCCCAAAGAACCATCAAACACTGAGAGGGGTTCGTTGGATTTTTGCATCTGTCCTGCAGTGAGATATTCTCATTCGTCATTCAGACTACATGAGATCAACATTAAAGTCTTTTACATTCCCCATACAATCCTCAGTACATTTGAACTGGGACAGAGGATCATATTTACAGACTTAACATCAACAACATCATTAATCGTGTTCTTAAGTTTATGCACATGTCATATATGAATAATCTTTGTGCTATAAGCTGTTTCAAAGCAAAAAAGGAGCCATGTTAGTTCGTCACCAAGGTCCTTGTTGGCTGGATTTATGGACAATAGGTACATTTTTGACGTGACTGCATTTCCATATGAATAGACAGGAGAGAAAAAATGTGGATTGGGTGACAGTGTGTTCATGAAGGATTTGTTTATGTAAAAATGCAATTAGTGCAGTTTATATTATTATTATTATTATTATTATTATTATTATATTTATGCATCTAACTAGCATGTATTTTGTGCAGATTTACAACATGTCTAGATATACAGTGCGTATATGCATAAAAACCTTGCTAGGATGAGGGGGAGATCCAGATCTGTGAAATAAAATCGTACTTTCATTTGTGCAATTAAAGAGTTTGGAGAGAAGCTACTCCATCCACAAAGGTGGTGTCAACAGATATAACTGCAACTGACCTCTGTGGCAGTGTCAGATGTAAAAACTTGACGTTTTTTGGGAGGAACTAAGTGTAGCTGGACCCTTTATTATATAAAACACTCTATATAATCAGCCAGGAAACAAGGAGAGAGCTATTATCTCAAGAGTCCTTTTTCTGATAAGGATTGTCAAAAAGTCCCTTTTTTTCCAGGTACACTATTTAGGCAGCAGATGGCACTGTTGTCCCATTTAGCAGGATCTTACATGACTCTATTCAACTGTGGCAAACCACAGCAACAGGCAGACCTTGACATTCCCGCAAAAAGGTGAGAATCACAAGCAACAGCAACAATATCAATCATCCATGAAATAATCTATAACATTTCCATTCAGACATTTGACCTCTCTAATGTTAAAAGCATCAGCAAGAGGTCAACTCCAGGAGAAAAATCCAGCCAATCATCTGCACACAAAACAATAATCAACACTACAATCATTCAGCTGTCCAGCCCTCCATGCAGAAGTTAAACCAGAATAAAATCCCACCGTCTGATGCTGTTACTGACGTGAGAACAGATACATTGCATCATCTGACACTGACACATAGGCATGAATTTTGAGTTTAACACTTATTTTATGGATCATCCAAGAGGCATATAAACAGGATGCTGAATATCACAACTGTCTTCAAAAATACGTGAATATAAGCAATTCTAACCTGTCTATCACAGTTCTCACAGTCACTTTGGAAACTAGCAAGACCATTGGGTTACAATCTATAGCCAGTGGCATGTCAGCACTGAACTCATACAATAAGAGTGATGTGATCAGTTCTGTACATTCTGTCTTTTTATCATCTAGCTTTCTTGTAGCTTCAAACACTTTATCAGCCCTCACTATCATGATGCCCTCAGTGAAGTCAAATATGATCAATTTTCTCTTTTTTATTTTCCTCCATATCATCAATATCACATGATAAATACATTATTATTTCTGTAATTCATAGTTCTATGAATAGTTGTGTTACTTGGCAACTTCAAATAAAGTCAAGTTTAATAAGAAAGGAACAAAAAGTTTACCGTTTGGAAGTCATATTGAAAACAGAAAAGAAAACATATATATACATATATAATCAATAGAGACAAATATGAAGGTTATAGCTAAACGTGACTGCAGTGTAGATTTATTATTTAGTTGATATGGACAACTGCTTTCTGTGCATCTTGTGTCAGCTCTAGCTGTCAGAGCACTCATCCATGTCTTCTCCTTCCTGCCTTCCATTCTGATGTGTGCGTTTTGTTTATATCTGTGAAAGTCCCCAACAGGCCCTGAGCTCTTCTGAAAGTGTCTCCAGCTGGGGTTTACCATCCTCATCTGTGTCATCTTGTGTTCTGACTGCTACTACTTTTAGTCTTAGTGTCAGAATGATGTCACATGTCTCCCACAATGTTTTTCTGAGATGTTCTGTGAACTTCAACCATCCGGTGATGTTGGTCAAAATATGAACTGTGAACCTCTCCATCTACTCTGTTCTCAGTGCAGTCATGTGTGAGCGGGGGCTTTATTTTGAAACCAGACACCGGAAGTTGTATAATTTTGTTTTGCTGTGATTGACACTTTGGCTGATTTTCATCGGCTGTCCATACAGGTGCGCATGGACATTTGTGCGTAATTTGCGGGCGGCGAGAAATGCGTGTTTACTATGTGAATGCACGATGCTCGGCGTTCCAGGCAGAAATGCGCGTCCACGGCGGAATATCTCTGCAGCTCACACACTGAAGACAGTGCAAGTGGGGCATGCATTCACTTTAACACAGCGGACCAACAAGCTGGTGTAGTCAGTAGCAGATTCCCGGGGATAAAACGACGTCTTGGTTTTCTGCAACAACACTGGATTACCGGAGCTGCAGGAGGTGGGTTTGAAGGAAGGTTTTCAGTTTTGAGCATAATAAGAGAAAAACGTGGAGATCCCAGATGTGAAAAGGCAGGTGCGTGTCGAGATTCGCACCTCGTTTTTTTTTCTTTTGCAATCTGATTTTCGGCCGGAGCCTGTGAAATGCAGCCTCTACCTGACAGATGTGTGGCACCACAACTGCAGCCTACAGGTCTGTATTGTCAGAACCAATTCGTGCGTGCATGCATGCCACGAAAAAAACCCCATTAAGTATGAGGCTGAATATTTAATACTACTGAGATATCATAGAAGCGACAGAGACATTGTCCCTGGCTTCGCTTCCACTGCACCTGAACAGCTTTCTGTGTGGAAAATGTCTGAGTGATTCTGTCTGCCAGGATTATGATAGCATCTCGCTGTTTATGCACACTGCTCTGCCACCCCCTCCCCACACACACAAATCTGATGACAGTCACAATTATTTTCCTGCTGAAACAGCTCAAAGGCTCATGTACAATTTTTGTGCCACTGCACTTTAAGTAAACAGAATTGCCAAGGGGTACAGGCCACTGATGGGACTCTAGCACAGAACAGGTTAGGTTTGTGTCATCTGCTCTGAAACAGTTGAGCAATATCATGGGAGGAATCACAGCATTTGTTTACCGGTGTGTTTCTGCTCCTTATCTTTTGTTTAGAGAGCGTCTCCTGTCTACCTGCTGCTGATCTGCTGTGGTCGGCTGTGGAGGACTGAGAGTGCTACAGCTGCAAATCTCATCATCATCATCATCACCATCAACGTCTGCCACTTCAAACACGACAAGATACAAGAGGACAGAGGCTGCTTTTGTCTGATCAAAAGCGCCGGCAGTCACAGAGTACCTGTAGACGATGACTCCAGCAGAGCTGCTTGCTTGAACGCAGCATGAGATAATTGAGGACCACCATACTAATCGCTGATTCAAGCTTTTTCTGTTTGGCGCTGATGAAAATGTTCCAGTGTGTCAGTTGACTGACAGGGTTGCAGTGCTGTTCTAGCCCCGGGACATCGCCAGCAGCTGAAGCGCAGACACCACAAAGGAGATGGCTCGTCCAGGATCAGGGATGCTGGTGCCCGTCAATGGACTGGGGTACCCCCCTCAGAACCTGGCCAGGGTGGTGGTCTGGGAGTGGATGAACGAACATGGTCGCTGGAGGCCCTACAGTGCAGCGGTTTGCCACCATATTGAGAATGTGCTGAAGGGGGATGCCCGGGGAAGTGTAGTTCTGGGCCAGGTGGATGGTCAGCTCTCTCCTTACATCATCGACCTGCAGTCCATGCACCAGTTTCGACAGGACACAGGTAAGAGACGTGTCGGTTTCCTGTCCTGATGTCACAGATGGAGGTGTGAAGGAAGGAACAGATAATGTAGATGTAAACAGGTACCAATACATTATGTGGATTTATACCCAGTAGTTCTAGTGTCTAAAATCTGCAAATAAATGAATTATATATGGCTGTCCTCACCACAGATGATGTCATATTACACTGGGACTGATTAAAACAGAGCAGCCTTGATGTGGTTGCTACACACATCTTATGTAACTTTCAGGGGAATAAATGAGAGTCCTGAATGCCCCGTCCGCTTTGGGACTCATAAAGATGAGCCACAGGTTGGGCTCAGAGGCGTTGCAACAAACAGGACACAAAGCACCCAGATGACAAAAGTGTAGCAATGATTTATTCATTCAGGAGTGTCTTTATGCGGCTGTTGGAATGCCATGACCTTGCCAAAGGTCACCGTGTTGGAGGGGGCTGTGCATTCATCAGGCAAATGAGTGCTGTAGCTCAGAGCGACGCTCCACACACTCTTCTCAGCTTATTGTGATGTGCTGTCTTTCCTTTTGTAAGAACGGCAATCCCAGTAGTGGTTGTTATATAGTTACTGTACACAGTTACTGGGTAAGAGAAAGTGCTCCTGGTTTCTGCCACCTTACCTCAACTCATTTCAACATGATATAAACAGTATATGGGAAAATTCACTTATATATTAGATATTGAATAAATATCCCAATATGCATAAACTATTGGCCAATCCCAAATAAATCTTTAGTTTTATGTTTTATGTAGTATTATAATAGTAGTATATGTTGCTTCAGAGTCAAACAGACCCAAAACAGCCTTTGTTTGGTTGACTGTAATTCTCTCTGATGACTGTTACCTTTTTAAACATGACCAGATGTTTTTGCTGTACTCCAGCAAAGCTCAACACACTCTCTGTGTTTGTCTCTGAGTGTGGATTCACCTTCCTGCTGTCCCAGTGTTTGAAGCGGAGATGTGGGGGAGGTTTGAGACATCTGTTAGAGGAATGAGCCGTGGACAAATCGCAGCTACCTGAATTATTCTTCACGTCTCATTCAGCTACATATCACTGCGTTAGAGTCAAATATAAATCAAGCGATTGATTGTTTTTTTATATTGTAGATCTGACCTGTCCCTAGAGAATCTAACACACACAGACATCACAGTGTTTCATCACCTGATGAGGTGAAGCATGAAGATTAATCCTTCACTTTGAGTCTCTTATTTGAAGGCGTTACGTAACATCGGGGTATCACAAGAGGCACAGGGAGATACAGAAGGTGACCTCACTGTGCATGGATCTGCATTATGTCACCTTTATTCGTTTGCATGAATGCATATTTTTGGATTTAGCTGGCAGTGTTAGTGTGTGACAGAATACAGAATACACAGAATGCAGCTCAAATTTGTAAAGGCCCTTGGAGTAACTGTCAGTCTAATAACTGTTTAATTATGGCTCAAAATGTTTCTCTAAATGGTTCAAAACTGCAAAAATACCCACACGTAATAAACTGTGGTTGTATGTGTGTTTTGCTAGAAACCCATCCACAGATGGGCGTTGCAAGCTAGGTCTGGCTATAAATTCTGTGGTATGTGGCACTGGTCAACGCTCTGTATACTTACCCCTTTAAAAATAGATATGAACAGTAAAATAATGTTCATAAAATCAGTAATTCATGCATAAATGTTTTTAACTGATGTTTTATGAAAAAAATACATGTCAATATCCTTGTCCTTATCTGACATCAGTTATGATACAGTTGTTATATTAATGCTGTATATAGAGTACACAGGCTTTATTACACACTACATTTACTCATTTAGAGTTAAGATTTCAGTTTCATTTTTAGTTACTACATCATCAGATCATACTTTCTTCGGCCCCTATGATATTTATATATAACAGAAGGGGACATAAAAAGACCTGGACCCCCATATGAAAAGTTTATATCCTGCATGAGCACTTTCTGTATTGGCTATATACAGCATATAGTATATATAGCACTTCATATATCAGCATTTTACTATTCTTCATGAAGAAAATGTTATTGTTTAATGTTTGAAATGCTGTATATGAGAGCGGTAGTGTTTCTGCACGACTGTCAGGAGGGTTGTAGTGTAAGGAGCTGCCTGGCTGTATTTCTTGTTGCTGTTATCCCCTCTGATAGAACATAACACAGCAGCACATGTGTCTGGGGTTGACTGGTTGCGAGATGAGCCACTGAGCCGTCTGTCAGCCATTACCGCGGTGCAGGGGCTGGGCCTGACGTTTATCGGTCCTCATTGTGCCATTCGGTGTGTTACCTTCCCCCTCAGCTGGGATAAACCTGTCACAGCGGGCCCTGACGGACAGCAGCCCGAACACCCGCTGCCTCCTCCCTCTTCCTTTCTCCTCCTCTGCACACCCCGTTCCTCTCCCCAAGCACGGGCAAAACCCCTGCCAGGCCACAGCCATCGATCCGAGCTCCAGTGAGGCCTAGCTTCTGGGCCGTAGTGATGTTATGCACCGCCGCTTGCACAAACAGCCTCAGTGAGCTTGTTTTAATGTGGCCTGTGATGCATCTGTTTCACGTCGGATGTTTGCTATATTTGTAGCTCAGCAGGTCACCCGCAGCCACTTGCTCCGTTGCAGGCTTATGGAGTGTCCCTGTGGGGAAGCCCCATTTTGTCGTTGAGCCAGTGATCGTCTACTGAGGCTGTTTTTTGGCAAGAGCTGGAAAGAGAGTTGAGTGTGTATGTGTGTGTATGTGTGTGTATGTGTGTGCCCATGTGTGAGGTTGCTGACGTGTGTGTGATGGTGCACTCTGCCAGTTGTGGCAGCTGTGGTGTTTGTGTCCTGTTCCTGCAGGCTGTGAGGGGGTGCCCTGCTCTCCTGTGGGTTTGGGAGGAGCTCCTGTGGGTGGGAACCAGGCAGAGTTACTCCGACTAATGAGACAGCAGCTACGGTTTATCTCCATGGCTCCCTCTAATCAGAGCATCATGACGACAACGCACGCACCACAGACGATGCGGCAGGGCCCCTCTCTGTGGACAGCAGCCTAAACACATCTGTATTTAGTTGCCATTCAAAAACACAGGGCAAGGGGTTCATAATACAACTACTGGTGAAGTCTGTGGTGAAACCCTGAACCCCAGTTCTTTCTATATCAGAATCACTGGAGGCTTAAAGGCTTATATATAGTGTGGATGAATATGTGGCTAAAGGCAGGGAGAGGTTTGGCTCCTGGCCAAGGAGGATCGATCCGTTCCCCTCCCCAGAGGGGCTTTTGAACCTCTAAACACTGCTGTGGACTGATCCCCTTTCACTACACCCACTCCCATAGCAAAACACATGGGCTTATCTGCCATCTCCATCATATACCAACACTTGTGGCCTGTCTGATGGATTTCACACTGCAACTATTGCCTCTGCTGCCTGGCTTTTAAGCATTTACCTCCTCTATATTTTCTCTTATGATGGAGAGGTGGCACAAAGCAGAGAGGCCAGCGAGTGTGCATTCATGACAGATAGATAAATCAGTGATAAGTCAGTGATGACTGCTAAATCATAGACGTAACATCAGCACCATTTACAGGCCGAATATTATTCTTAAATGAAGACAGGTTCTGTTGGGTACTGCTGTGGGGCTGTAGTGACATTACTGCATGAGAAACATACTTTATAGCAAGATGACATTAAAGCACAGTAACCAAAAAAAGATCAAAAGACAACACAGTAGGTGAAACAATGACACTGACTCACAAGTTAATGTGAACATAAATATATTAATGAATTAATGAAATAGTATTTTCAATTTCACAGGAGCAACTCGATCAGTTCTCTATGGCATCTTCAACCACGGCAAATGTGCCTAACCTTGTGACTTTAAATTGAACTGAAATTAATATTGATTTTCACTAGTTTCGCAAGTTCAAACTGTTGCACAGGCAGTTAACCGGCTGGGGGGCCGGCGGTGTTATCTTGTCCTCAGGATACAGAAGTTCTTGTGTTGGCTGTGAGTTTTGACCAGGTGGACACCTCCATGGCTGTAAAATACAGCCAACACAGAAGGGCCAAAAAGTTGTAGTTCCTCAAACAGCCACCTCGAGGCTGGTTTCCAAAGCGAGTTTGTCTGCATAAGGCCCCATATTAAAATGCCCACAGCAGAAAACATTACAATGTTACAGTCTGGTTCAAGAAACGGTTTTGGTCCCTCTTACTGATTTCCCCATTTATTCCTGTATGTGTTACTCACCTGTTTAAATTATATTAAGGCATAAGGCATTAAAGTTATGCATATTTAAGGGCATGACTGCTTTGAGTGACTGAGCAACAACAGAGCTTCAATTAGCCCGTGTTAGATCCATCCACACTCCACGTCTTTATCCATTTTTGGATTAGCAGGGAGCCGTCGGAGTCAATACTGGCAAGAAGAAGTTCACAACAGCTCTTCAGAAACCTATGGCTGAGTCACAGAGACTACGTCCATTTTTAATGATGCAGTGTGTGGTTTTTAGTCCGGTCATTTTCCATTACCACAAGTCGCACCTCCAACACGAAACATAACATATAGTGGGAATCAGTGCTAATGTTTGCAGGCTAGGCTAGGTAGCTTCCCTCTGGAATAGCCTGCAAGCTTCTGCCTCCCAAAGGAAATGTTGAATGTTGTAAACGGACAGATTTTCATTTAAAAAAAGCTCTAAAAACTGACTGTACGCTATCTGCTCAGCACCAAACGACATGCAGACACAGTTAGCGACTAGCTGGTGAACAAAGCGGAGCATCAAGCAGTTAGGAGTTGGTGGAGGGTAAAATAAAGGAGAGTCAATGTTGGACTTACATTCATCAGGTGGACACAAACGCAACCCCAAATGACTGCTGATGTTCCTCTGTATCCGCTGCATGCGTGAATATGCTAACAGTTATTGCGTAGACAGCCAATGCTATGTGGGCTTGTTGTTATACAAGTTATGTTATACAGGTTATACAAGGCCATGGCGTGTTGTAGTGCACCACAGAA